GATATCAAGAGAATCAGCTAGTATGATGAAACTTTCTATATAATATCACACCAACTAACTCGAATATATAATGCAAAAAAACGGAGGAATGACAATTGTTCGAGAGAGATATAGAAAATTCGGAGAACTTATTGACTACCCTATGTACATATGAATCTTTGCAGTCGAGGGTAATGCGAGCCCGTCTTGACGAGCGTTATTTATATTTTAAAACTCTTTTACTTTAATAGGCGAATTAATTTTTATATTTGCGAATAAAAAGTCAGTTTTGTTCATCTTTCACAATCAATATAGTTCGGCGCTGTTAAGAGAACAACAACCACCAGTAACTAATACTTTTCCATTTGATAATATCGATGCTGTATGTTGATATCGTGCAACACTCATATTTACAGCTGTTGTCCAATTACCGGTTGATGGATCATATATTTCAGCACTGTTGAGAGGACCACTATAATCCTTTCCACCAGTAACTAATACTCTTCCATTTGATAATATCGATGTTGTATGATAAAGTCGTACAACATTCATATTGGCAGTTGTTATCCAATTACCTGTTGATGGATCATATAATTCTGCACTGTTGACTGGACAACAACCACCGGTAACTAATATTTTCCCATTTGATAATATGGACGCTGTATGAGAAGATCGTGGAACGTTCATATTTGCAGTTGTTGTCCAATTACCTGTTGATGGATCATATATTTCAGTACTGTTGAAAGGAGCACTGCCATTCCAGCCACCAGTAACTAATACGTTTCCATTCGATAATATCGATACTGTATGATAAGATCGTGCAACATTCATATTTCCAGTTCTTGTCCAATTACCTGTTGATGGATCATACAATTCAGCACTGTTGACAGAAGCACTACCATTCCAGCCACCCGTAACTAATACGCTTCCATTCGATAATAGCGATGCTGTATGAGAAGATCGTGGAACATTCATATTTCCAGTTCTTGTCCAATTACCTATTGATGGATCATATATTTCAGCAGTGTTAGGACCACCAAGTCCACCAGTAACTAATACTTTTCCATTCGATAATATCGATGCTGTATGAGAAGATCGTGGAACATTCATACTTACAGTTGTTGTCCAATTACCGGTTGATGGATCATATATTTCAGTACTGTCGAGATTAACACTACCAGTCCATCCACCAGTAACTAATACTTTTCCATTTGATAATACCGATGCTGTATGATATAATCGTGCAACACGCATATTTCCAGTTGTTGTCCAAACTAAAATCAACAAATATATCATGAAAAGACGTGTTTTTCAATATACTCAAATCATCTACCTCAACACTTTATCTACTTGTTTCCTTCACTGTAGGGAGAATCATAGGAAAAAAATAGCTTATGTGCCTCTGTTCTTCTGTGGGTGCGGAATTAATAGGCAAAGGACGCAATCGTATTATAGTGCATTTCGATGGTAACCATGAGTTCCCAAGGCGCATGGTTTCCGATTATCTTCAGGTCCTCAAGTGGCATATTTTCGAGACACACTGGACGGGTTAAATTGCGTCTGATTTTTGGAAATTAATGGCTCGGCTTTAAAGAAAAATGCGGATTTTTTCTCCGAGAAAGATCCCAGTCTAGTTCGTATTGTCGATGAGACAAAAAAGTATTTCTTTGTTACACAGTCGAGGGTGAAGTGAGTCGCAATGACGAATGTTATTTGTAGATAACAATCGAAAATTTATTATCTAATTTATAGAGTGTGAAATTATATAGAAGATTATTTGCGGATACAAATGAGAAAATATGTCGAAAGTTTCTAACTTTGTATTTTCTATTGAAAAAGCAACTAATTAATGTCATCTGTCCTCTTCGTAGCTTTAATGCTTTGTTTTTCGATGAAAATGATGAGTTTTATCGAATGAAACAAGGATTTTATCGTAACGATCGATTGAAAGAGCTATCAAGAGAAATGACAACTATGTAATCGAAATTACTTACCGTGTGGTGCTTCTGTTGTTGACGTTGATGATGTTGATGTAGATGATGCGGATGATGATGTTGAAATTAGAGTCAGATCTAGTTAGAGAAAAAATTAATTGTTCACCAATCAAAAAAAAGTTAAAATGAATATCTAACCCAGATTTAACTGATACTTGTCGTATTTTTAGTACGCTTTTCCTTAGTTGGAAAAAAAGTACATTTTGTTAGACTTATATTCAGACATCTACACTCTTTTCATATGTATAAGAGTATTATAGTCGTTTTCTCGTCCTTATAGTTCTCCTATATCTCAAGCTTGATAAAGAAAGAGGATAAGTCAGGAATATGAAAGAATCATTTGTTAAAGAGAATAATACTCTTGTACTTCTACTTATATATATATCTCTAATCACAGTCTCAGATTAGCTTTCGTATTCACTTGAAAATTCTAATTGGAAATCAATGAACTATCGTATCTATGTATCATTTCTATTGAATACAAACCAGATGAATATCGTGTTCCTACAACTGTAATCATTGTTACAACATTTATTGCATATGACATGTTTTCATTTTGATTTAATGAGTCATTAAATAATTGACAGTTGGAACTTGATTTATAGAAAGTAGCTGCCATGCATTGATTTCGACTTAAACAATCGACTTGACATTGAAAAAGATCGGATGTTGTGAAGTTACCAGATGGTAAACAAGTTGATTGTGCACATTGAAATATTTGATCATTGATTATCGACATTTCAATAGATCGAATATTATCTGCCATTGTTTGTATGATAAACATCAGTAATAATAGTAAATAAACATTTTTTGTATTCATTTTCTCGACAAGTGTTGAATTGTTGAAATGAATAAAACTAAAAAGAATATCTTCTATTACACTTTCTCTGTTTTCTCTATTTCTTTCATTAATTAGTTGAGAAACTAAACATTCATGACTTTTCTCGTATATCAAACCAACGCAAAGAGAGAAAGAGAAAGAGAGAAAAAACAAAAACATAGTTTATCATTGGATGACTTTTTCTCCATCGAAAATATTTATTAGAATGTGATAAAGAATTAAAGATTTCGATCTATTTCTAAATAGTTAATTCTCATAGGTTGAAATATCATTTTAGTTTTCTCATTGTACAATGACAAAAAGAATAATTAAAGAAAAACAAAGAAAGACGAATGACAAGTTAAAGATAAGGAGAAGAAAAGTTCTTAGAATTATTTTAACGAAGAAATTCGAATGCATTTATTGATTAAATAATAATCAAATCAGATCTTTTCATTCTATTATGATGATTAGTTGACTTCAGTTCTGCTTGCATACCTAAACAATACAAGTGATTAATTAGAAAATAATCTAAAGACATAAAATTTATGTGTATTTAGTCAATTATAATGATTAAAATAGCTGTGTTTCAATAAAGAAAAGACTTTGTATTGAAATAAATCTTTTTCAAAATTATTTTCTTTTAAATTTTGATGATTAAATAAATCAAATCAAATAATCATAAATGGTAAACAAGTTCTTATTACACATTGAAATTTCCGTTCACGTCTTTTAACTATTTAAAACAATATCATACTTTGAATAGGCAATTGTTCGAGAAAATACTTAACGGAAATAAAATTGAAATTATTACCAAAGATATAAGTGAGGAGGAAAGAAACTCAATTATACGGATATATGCTATCAGAAAAAAAAACATTCATTTAATAAATAAAAAGATCCACTCTATTTTAATCAGTAATTTTAGATAAAAAATTAATTTTGATAATTACAATAATGCTTTTTTTATCACATTTCATTCGAAAAGAGGGAAATCACGAAATCGAGTAACTTTATTTGAAACTAAATGTTTGGAGAAACTTTTAAAAGAAAAAAACTCATAAAGTTATCGAACATGACTAAGAAATTTTAAACGATAAAAGGATTATTTTTCCAATAATGAGTTACATATGTTCACTTATTCACATAAGAGATGAAAATAAATAAAAATTCAGAGAAAAAACAACAACAATAGTATTATTGAGTATAAACAGTTTCATAACAATTATTCAGTACGTCAATGTAGGAGAAAGAGAGAAGAACTATTGTATTTTACGAGAAAGTGCATGTTGTCATACAGAATACAATCAGGAATGTCCTTTTTCTGTTCGTTCTTTCATGTGAACTATATAGGAGTGAACGAAAAGAAGAAGGACATACTTGATTGTTGCCGTCATCATATGCACAAATTCAAATCATATTTTCTTTTTAAGTATGTTCATTCCCTCGACTGAAAGGAGGGTCATGTCGAAAAAAAGTGGTCAAAAAACGGAAATTCGTTTGTGTGTGTGCATGTCTGTCGCAGGTCAAAGGTCAAAAAAACGTTTTCTCCAAAAACGCTCAAAACTTCATAAAACATGGTTTGGGAGGGCTGTTGATGGTGGATGTTCGTTGGAGAAAACATCGAGATTAACTATGATAGCGAAGAAGGCCGAAGGCAGTTTGAGCGCTCGCAGAGAACACTCCACGCGTGGTATACATTTATGGGTGTTGCAGTGGCTACAGGGAATCGATGGAGTCAATCAGTAGTGATGCAGGCTTTGAAAAGGTTGAGATCAATCTCGATGTTGGATCAGAATGAAAGGATGGATGAATGAGAAGATATAATTTATAGGCTGACGTGTCAAAGTGGCAATGAAGTTTATAAATGAACGACTGAAATGGAGAATAAATATCAGATTAAAAGAAAATTAATCAAACCCCTATTGCAGAAATCAGATTCAGTAACATCTTTGCATACAAAACTACAACCGAAGCTACCGTGTTGTGCAATGGAAAACCGGAACGATAAGAAGCGCAAGTGTAGAAATTTTGAGCATGTTGCTTTTCCTACCCAGCACAATTTCTCCGCATGCCATACGTTCGCCATAAACATTTCGTATTTGTCATCGGATACCCATGCTAATGG